AAATGTCTTTGGAGTGTCATTCTGAAGTGCAACAGCCCATTATCTCAACTCCCTATTTTTGATGAAGACCAAGGATGTCTGAGCTGCTTTTACAGTTGTTGGAGACTGGAGCTCATACTTCATAGGCAAACGTGTTTATCATTTCATTGTTATTTAACTAGTAGAACACGGTATACTGTCACACACTTCAGACATTCTGTGACTGTCAGTAAAGAGCAGTGGGATGTGGAAATGAGAGAGGCATAAAATCTCTAAACTACGCTCCTGAGATTTCCTGTTAGAGAGAAACAAACTTTCCCCTAAGCACTGAGAAAGGTAATGAGCTGGTGGTAATGATGAATATAAAGAAAGCAGCAACAGCAATTCTGTTTAAACAACCCAAGCTCCATTCCCTTGGGTTGGAAAACAAGGAAGGTGCCAACTTTAGTGAGAACCTCCTAAGTTTAGAAAAAGGGTTCACTGAGAAACCGCTGGTTCTCTGAGAAGGAACCAAAATGTTTCAGTGAACTACACATCTTGAGGTACTCCACTGAAAAAGAGAACCAGAACCCAGGCCTTGGAGAGCCATCAGCATTTTCCATCCACATCTATTCAGAGCAGTGGTGAAAAGCCCACATCTTCATCACATTCCAGCTCCCATGGTTACTTAAGGCCCATGTCAAAGTCACTTCTGAAGGACTACTGCAGTATTGCTGGTCTCAGTGTAGGTCTGGGACAGCTCCAGCAGTGAATGGCAGCTTTAAGCTGCCACTCTTCTCCCCCTTTAACCACAAAGACCACCTGTGTAGCCAAGCTCAAGAGCTAAGACCAAATTCCATATATCTGATCAGTGTTCATCAGTCTGTGCTGGAGCTCAGTAACTGGCTCTCAGAAGAACCATCATCTGCCAAAGGAGCAGCTTTTAAAACCCAGAATGCATATTTGTGTCAGAACTGTGAAGTGATACATTCTATATGCAAGCACTATTCTGAAAACACTACTTATTGGGCTGCTTTGAAGAAAGCAAGAAGTTTTGTTTCTAAATCCTGAGTTTTAATCATTAAGATTATTCATTTTTATCTATTTTCATGCACTTAATTTTAGCCATTTGCACTTGTGAACCTCGCACTAGGGAATGAGCCAAAGGAAATGGAGCCAATGGTTTCTCCTTTATACATTTGACAGTGCACACCTTCCCCATCCTGTGACTGTGTCTCAATGCAGGAAGAACTTAGAACCGCAGATATGGCTGAAGAAGGCACCATGCAAAGCCCAGGTACCCCACAGCCCTGATTCCATATCAGCTGGTGAGAGCCACTGGCCACGCAGACACACATCCAAAAAGCACCAGTGTTCAGAACCTAGTGGGGCACAATTTGCAATGAGCTTAAAATCAGGATGAGAGCAGTGGACTGTTGAAGGGTTAAACATTTCCTGCCTTTAATCTGGAATCACGTAATGTGGAATGAATGTTTCAGCTCAAAATGTTTCCTCGCTCTGGCAGTGTCATGGTGGGAGGTCAAAGTGTGGGGGAGACAGAAAGAAAAAAGGGGGTGCGTGGTGTGGGGAGCCAGGGAAGCACACACACCCAGCAATGAGCAGGATGGGTTCTCCAGCAGCGTTAGCCCAGCTGGATGGGCTTTGGTGCAGCCATGGGCTCAGTGTAGGACGTTAGGGACTTCCTGCTCCAGCTGCCTCTGCTTCTCCCATGTGTGCGTGCTTCTGCTCTGGGCACAGTTCCCACGCTACATTGCAAAATACGCCTTGAGTTTCTCACAGTATCTCTGCCCAGACACAAACTGCAGCTTCGGCCCTTCCTGCGCCCGGAGGTGGCTCTCCTCTGGGGCAATGCCTGCTGTAGTTACGTTTCCTGCCGATGGAGGTCTTTTCCTGTGCGACCAGAATTGGTCTGTACACCAATGGGCTTTATCCAGGGCAGCAAACTTCAATTTAAAAACTTGTCAAATTTCAGACTACCCCGATTTAGCAGAGCAGCCCGTTCTCAGATGGCGTATTACACAAAGCAGCACCAGCCTTGTGCATCTCACCTGCACACCTTCCTATGAGCACAAGGCAGTCAGTAGCTTGTGACTGTCACTCCTTCTGTCAAAAACCATTCCTACAGATCAGCGTATCTCACATTCAGTTTCCACCTCCTCTGTTGCAGGCAAGACAGTTTCCACACGATGAATTCTTACTTGTTTAATTTCTTACCAGTTAGCTTTAACAGCTTATCACTGATTCAGGACCTGAGTAAAGAAAGAAAAACACACACACATGAAGGGAAGGGAAGGGAAGGGAAGGGAAGGGAAGGGAAGGGAAGGGAAGGGAAGGGAAGGGAAGGGAAGGGAAGGGAAGGGAAGGGAAGGGAAGGGAAGGGAAGGGAAGGGAAGGGAAGGGAAGGGAAGGGAAGGGAAGGGAAGGGAAGGGAAGGGAAGGGAAGGGGAGGGGGGGGAGGGGAGGGGAGGGGAGGGGAGGGGAGGGGAGGGGAGGGAATGGAAGAGAAGAAAAGGGAAGAAAAGAGAAGAAAAGAGAAGAAAAGAGAAGAAAAGGGAAGAAAAGGGAAGAAAAGGGAAGAAAAGAGAAGAAAAGAGAAGAGAAGAAAAGAGAAGAAAAGAGAAGAGAAGAGAAGAGAAGAGAAGAGAAGAGAAGAGAAGAGAAGAGAAGAGAAGAGAAGAGAAGAGAAGAGAAGAAAAGAAAAGAAAAGAAAAGAAAAGAAAAGAAAAGAAAAGAAAAGAAAAGAAAAGAAAAGAAAAGAAAAGAAAAGAAAAGAAAAGAAAAGAAAAGAAAAGAAAAGAAAAGAAAAGAAAAACAATTACACAAACACTTAAGCAATCACCTTTCTGCCCTCTTCCCCTTAAGCCAAACACAGCAGTCGTGACCTCCCTGCTCTCCCTCGGTTACCTCCAGCCTGTCCCATTTCCTGCTTCTCTTACGTCTGAGTGGGACCATCACATGTGGGATGGTGCTGTGGGGACACTGCATGGGTTTTGGAGCTGCTGTGACACGTCACAGCCACCTCCTGCCTGGTCCCCCCTGCAGCTCCTGGCTCCCACACCTATCCTCGCACAGCCGCAGCAAACCCTACAGGTTACACCCAGCACCATCCTTCTGCACAACAAAAATGGGAGCTGCCCCCCACGCAAAAGATGGCTGAAGCACAAAGAGACTCAGGAGGTCTGCGTGCTTCTGAGAATATTCAATTGTCCATCTTCCCACCAAACGATAGCAAATGTCTGAAGGGAATCATCTGACAAGTCCTCTTGCTCAACACCGCTCACCCCTAAGCTGCAAGAGAAAAACAAACTCCTTTCATGGCAGGAAATCCTCAGGCCAGTTTGTCAGCAGGATTTAGAAACATTTCAATAACAGAACTACTGACATTGGATTTTGACTGAATGATACAGCCAGAGAAGTGGTAAGCGTGCATTTCTGATGGGTACCAGTCAGGTGATAGAGGTGTCCACCCTATTGATGTTGGGCACATGTGGGTTGTAGTGCTTTCAGGATAAAGATTTTAGGCTCCTCCAATGATTTTAGCTCAAGCATTAGGTCTTCTGAAGTGTTCTACATTAAAACAATGCATTTATGATCTAGGAAAAGGTCCAAATGAAGCCCACAGCCTTGAACATTTTATTTCTAAAATGAGCCACCTGAAGGTTCCCTACATCAGCCCCATCACTTTCCAGCATCCAATTCAGTCTTCAAACTGAACTCAAAGATCCAAAAGACTTGTTTTATAAACCCAGTATTTACTTTGGGGTCTCCTTGATGGGACGCTGTGCGTTCCTCCAGCCCCACACCCCACACTCCCTGTCTCCTGGGCAGTTTTCCTGCTGATGCAAGATGTGCTGCAACCTAAGGGGCCAAGAACACTGCTGAGTGTTGTTCAGCTTGTCCCACCCTTATGCACTGGTTCCTATGCAATTAAAAAGTATTTCTTTCCTTTGTAGGGTGTTTTGAGACCTATTGATTAAAACTCCTATGAGTAAGCAAGGTGTCCTGCTGTTCAAAATATTATCTTGTGTGGAGAAGAGCTGTTATTAGAGTTTGTTATTAATAGAGCAGGAAGTGGGGATTAAACTTTGCTCTCTAATCATAAATAAAAGCTAGAAGACCTCTGCAGCTTCTGGGTAAGCCTAGGAATGAACAGCTGCTCCTAAGGAAAGAGAACCCCAGAAGGAGAAACCCAGATTGATGTCTCACAGGGAGCTGAATGAGAACAAGGTCAGGTTTGGCAGCCTGCCTCCTTTTCACCTTGTGAATACTCTCCAAGGGATCGTGCTGGAACACAACTGTTTTGACACAGGGTTTCCTGTTGCAAATGCTCTATGCAGGCTCCACATCAAGCAGCTGGGATTTTTTTTTTTTACGTGCCTCAGCCACATTTTCAAGTGGTGTAAATTGCCATAGCACCATGGAGTCCTGCAGAACAACAGAAATCAGGCTGTTGGTTTTTATGAGCTGAGGATCCAATCCAGCCTAAAAATCACCCAAAGCAAAAAATGTTTCCAAGGCTAGAAAGGCAGTCTCACATCTGCAGCCAAAGCCCAGGTTACCACTGCAACCACAGGGAGAGTTTGCAGAGGTAGTCTTTGTGCCTACTGGTTGTCTCCATTAAACCCCATGGAAGAAGTTTTGAGAGTTGGGTAAACACTGAAAAAAAGCTCTGAATGTTTAGCGTCCCTCTGATTGGCTTTAAACTCCTTGGGCATATTTTGTATTCCATTTCCAGGAATAGCCTGGTGAGATTTTTCCTCACACAACAGCTCCTGGTGACAGGGATTGATGTTGCTGGGGTATCAATTACCCTGCTGAGCAGCATCGGACTTCGATGTGGCCGTCTGGTGGGGTAGAGGACTCCTCGCATAAAACAATACAATATTACAGCAACAAATAGATTATGTGAGCCATGAGCCAGCAATGTGCCCTCACAGCCCAGAAAGCCAACTGTATCCTGGGCTACATCAACAGAAGCGTGGCCAGCAGGGTGAGGGAGGGGATCCTGCCCCTCTGCTCTGCACTGTGAGATTTAGACTGGATATAAGAAAGACATTTTTTTACAATAAAGATAGTGAGGCACTGGTACAGGTTGCCCAGAGAGGTGGTGGTACCCCATCCCTGGTGACACTCAAGGTCAGGCTGGACGGGGCTCTGAGCACCTGATGGAGCTGTAGGTGTCCCTGCTCACTGTAGGGGGTTGGACCAGATGGCCTTAAAAGTCCCTTTCAAATCAAATGATTCTATGATTCGATGCTTCTATGTATAGATCTACCATTACCTTCTAGCACAGTCGAGAAGCCAGCCTGGTACACCCAGACAGCTAGGAATTGCCCTCACAACCACACCAGGCCCAGACCTGAAAGCAGCATAGCTGTTAGCACGAAGTTACATTCCAACTAACAATCCCTTCTTAGTTGCAAAAATGTTGCCTTGTGCTAGCACAGCCCTGTTGCTTCCAGTTTTAGGGCTGGTCTGTTCAGCATTAACCGAGGATGTGCTGCCCCACTCTATTGTGTGATATGGACATGCCCTCAGAGTTCAGCAGCTGGGTATTTGTTCTGGAAGTGCTTGTGTGCTCACCCACTCGGTGCAGAAACAATGTGATGTGCTTTTTTTTCCTAAGTGGTAATAATTAACAAAGCACAACCCATATAATCACACAGCACTGCTCAACATCATTGGAGAAGCACGCAGCAAAAGAATTACCTCCCCACTGCTTCTGAATAGCACCAAAAAGAAGTAAATAACCTTACCACAAGTATTCAGTGAGCAAAAAGAAAGCCTAAATTCATCAGTAATGTCATCTCCCTGCCTTGAACGTTCAAACAGTGCTTAATAAATGCCTTACGGTATGAACAGCCTTTACAGCTGCTGGGCACTCGGTGTGCTGTGGGCTGGGACGTGGCAGACACGGCCTTCCATAAACATCCCAGCTCAGCAGAGCCTGCTCAGCCCATGGGACATCCTGCTGGGAATCCAGGTCTAGGAGAGAGCGAGCGCATAAAAATAAACAGGACTCTCATCTACTTATTTAACAGGGCATGAAAGCAATTAAGGAGATACTGAGGAAACCAGTCATGGAAAATGTAGGTCACGGTATTTAAATTCAGCTTCATGGTTACATTCCTTCTTCAGTGCATTTCCCGCTCCATGTTGTTTCTAATGACAATGGCAGGGATATATGCACCAAGATCCTTCTTCTCACTATCAATTTACCTTCCAACGCTCTGCTGAGTCCAGACACACCAATAAATACTTTGTCACTATCTGTAAAGTAGGGAGCAGGAACTAACATGAGCTATAAGGAGATGTTTTGGCCTACATCCATTATGTGAGTTTCATGAAGCATAAGGATTAAAACACAGAGAAACATAAAATTTGAACCAACATATCAAAACCACCACATATGTGAAGCAAACATGGACCAAAAAAGGAGACTTGACACTGCAACACCATGCCTTTAACATCAGCATTTCTGCGTGCATGGTTGCAACAGATCAGCTTGTATCCTGTTTTGCGCTGTTGCATGCTTTGCCTTAGATTCTAGCTTCTCGTACTAATCTCAGTGCTAAGAGAAAAATGAAAAAGTCCCCTGAACATTTCCTCATGCTATACCTGTGCTTCCCAGATAACTGATGGTTCATTGGCCCACAGAACCGCATTGCCTTCATTACATTTTGACCTGAAAATCCTTAGCAGGTGCATGACAACCTGCAACCAGTTTTTTATAGCTGACAGCAGTCTAAAGCCCCAAAGGTTCAGGAATTTTCTAGGCTGGATGAGCTCTTAAAGGAACCATAACAAGTTACTTTACTTATGCCTGTTAGCATATTATGTCACCAATTGTTACGCTCAGTTGTTTATTTTTGGCTTATTTCTTTTGCATCTTCTCTATGCACTCAATATGTACTCAGTGGAAGCAGCCACTGACAGCTGGGTTTTTATATGGTACCTTGTATAATTTTTGAGTGACAGAAAGGCTGTGTGTGGAGGGTTATGCTTTAGACCAGAGGGTAGGGCCACAGTTTTCCACTACTGAGATGCCAAACTATGCACTTGAGGTGCCACCACTCAGGCATCCAGATACATATCTGGGGCTCCAATGAAGGAGTACGGCTGCTCACCGGTTGTCCATGGATATACATACAATTGATCAAGGTTATACGGACACCAGCATAGAATCTGGAGAAGTTCTAGCCGGGGAACTAGGAGCTAAACTGCAGAAAACAATGCGTGGTATCAGGATTTCACTCTAGAGAAGACTGTTTAAAATAGAAACAGTAACAGAATGGACTGAAAAGCATTGCGCAGACCTGTCCAAATACTCAGATTTCTGGAGAATCAAACATGAAACAAATGTTGTTAAATCTTTTCATGACTGACCTTGGCACAAACCATCAGAGTAAGTTCAACTTGCTGGTGACGTGCAGCTGGCTAACACTATCAATGCACAGGAGGATCAGGGTGCCCTACAAAAAGAATGGTGTTCCACTGGGGAACTGAAATACAGTCAGTTATAGGATGCAGAGCAGCACCTAGGGACTGAGAAGAATTATTTCTCCTCTCACTGCTCAGAAGCAACACAGAAAGGTGTTACTGTAGTAAGTATGAATATCAGTGCGTTGCAGCTCTGAAACAAGAAGTGTGACCTGAGGATGCTAGATAAAATAATTACTGCAAAGGCAGAGAGCATGAGTGTTGCTGTACATGGGCTGCCCGAGACCTTTCCCTGAGCACTGCTCACAGCTCTGATGGCTCCTATATCTTATAGAACAGGTGCAGGCAGAGGGATTTCTCAGCACAGCAAGGCCTGTTGTATGAGAGCAGGCTGAAGCCATGCTTTATTTTTATATCCCAGATCCAAAGATCTGGATGTGTTTTCATGTCCACATGGCATTGCACATTGCATACAGACCTATTGGCTCAGATGTGGTTGGATATTGGTGGCACGGTTGCAGACAGAGTTCCTGTACCCCTGGAGCCTTCCTCGTCTTGTTTGTGCACTTCTCTCCATTGTGCTGACACAAACATTTCTGTGGTTACCTGGGAACAGAGTCAGAAAATTGATCCACCCTCACAATGACAAAAAGGTTCCTTTTCAAGATCACATCTACAGCCAGCCAAATGCCTCTGGACTTCTTTGAAATTTGAGATTTATTCAACCGATGGTAACTGGAGAATCTTAGGAAAATTGCATTTTCATTGTACAGATGACCTTCATAAAGGTTCATATTTGGGCACGCAGAAAGCACCCCAAAACTGGACAAAAATACCTGCTATGCACGTGTCAGAGTGATAAAGAAAAATTCCTCACCTGAAGAGCAGCATTTAGCAGGAGCCAGTGCAGAAAGTGACCAAGAATTAGCAGTTGCAGCCCAGAATTAGCAGCTGATTTCTAGCCATGGGAGCAGGGAAGTTCTGGAAGAGCCTTCAAGCGAGGGACAAGAACCTGAACTAGATTTAAGATGAGCTTTGACCCAAAGGAACTGTACAGGACTGTTCTGCAGTAGTTGGGCCCTGTGCCTGAGGAGGTCCCTTCCATTGAGGTGGAACATCCAGAGCCACGTGCCAAACAAAGCTCTCCATTGGTCACAGAATATAGTATGAATAGTATAGAATATAGTAGAATATAGATGTGTGCATTCTACATTCTACACACAAAATTAAAACCTTGGCCATTCCTCTCCATATTTTTGCAATAGAGTACAAATAGCACTACCACAGTTTATCAGCACTTTCCACTACAATACCACAAGACAGAGCAACAATTCGTGGTGCAAGACAGGAGAGAAGAAAGCTTTGTAGTCAGCTAGGACAACAGCTTGGAAGGAGTAAGTCCTAAAGTAAGTGCAAAAAGGGCATATCCTAATCTTTCACGTTGAAGACCTGAACAGAATTCACCCCCACACCATTCTTCAGTTATATTGAACTCCTCCACCTAGAGCAGATTGATTCCAATACACAGAAGTGGGGAGCTGGCCATAAAGGTTTGAAAGAAATGGTTGTATAATAAGAGTGTATAATAAGTGTATATATAATAAGAATAACTGAGAATAAGAGTGTATATAATAAGAGTGACTGATCCTAAAAAGAAAACATTTCAACTCAAAATGATAAATGAGGAGCAAAATGTTTTCTTTTGCACCATCCTACAGCTGTAATGTAACGTTGGAATGACACAGGGGTTTCCTTCAGTGCATGCCTGACCAAGAAGTGTGGACATGGCCACAAGTGCATGCCACCAGAGAACTCCCACTGTCCATAAACCTGCAATGACACCTACTGGTAACCGGTCAAAGATATTCCTGCCTGCAGACAGCACGAGCTTGCTTGCTACCAAACACACAAGTGATTTTCTCTTACATTCTGGCTCTCCCTCATCAAGATTCTCTGCAGTGTTTTTGTACAGCTGAATGCAGAAACCTGGGCTCTGCCTGGCCTGACTTATCTGCAAACCACTCACCATTTCACTCTTCCGTTCTGAGCTGAGCAATCCACTCTGGAGTACCTTGTGTAGGGGACCCGGGACCCTATGACTTTTCATGCCTTAGGCTAAGCCAGCCAGGATTGTACAGTATGGAACATTCTTGGACGACTCCCAGACTTCCACGTTAACATTTCTGTCATCCTACAAGATGGGAGTTGCCCTTATTCTGTAGTCCCTGGCACACAACAGCTAACTGCTCTCTGAAAGCCTGAGAAGGTGACCTGTTCCATCTGCAATACCACCTGGGGTACCACTCATCAACTGGAGAAAAGAAGCAAGCACCACTTCCAATAAAACAGTCCCACTGCAGACAGCAGACAGCTATTTAATACCACCAACGCTATTTAATAGAAGCCTAGTTTTAGAACATGATACTGAAAAGTTTCAGAGAGAGAGATATTTCATTCAAAAACCTTTGCTTCCTCACCTTAAAATGAAGACTTTGATAAAATACATCCACCAAATCTGTGGAGGATTGATCTCACACTAAGCATTTCACAAGCCAAAGGAAGGCAAGAAGTGACCGCGCCATGAAAAGTCTCAATCCTCAGCTCAGAGTTAGCACTGGACTTTCTAATGTTGAAACAACACAGAAAGAAAGGGAGAAGCAGGAAAGGAGAAACTGCATATAGTCTGAAGTCTGGAGAGGTTTTAATGCGTATTCTATCAGTATGATGGAACACATCAAGATGATTAACCCCTGTAGGGAACACCATAAATCACAGCAAAAACACAAGCGACGTAATTAGAGTCAGGAATCCCACGTGAGATTTTCTTACTGAATTCCTTGGATTTGTTCCAAGCTTTAAACTGCCTCCTTTGTCTTTTTCTAAGTTATTTCTGGGTGGCACTACAGCCATGCATAAATAGTGAAAGTTCCCTAAATTATTTTTAACAGTTGATTTACATTACTTGCATTAAAGAAAATCTGCTGTGAGAATGCTCTGCATGTGCAAAGAGGTAAAGAGCTCAACATACGGACCGTTGGTGCCCCTGACAAGTACACAGCCTAGATTAATCTCATTGGCTTTGGATGTCTCCAGAGTAGGCATTCAGACCTGAGGGGCAGTTTTCCAGCAGAACTCCACAGCGAGGAGAAATGAGAAGGGCTCACTCCACCTCATCCTACACAGCTGAAAACATCTACCAGAGCGAGGTGAGTTACATCTTGGAGAAGAACCTATTTTTTCCTTACATAGAAAGATCATAAATATCCATCTTAAGTAATACATATTAATGTGTATAAAAGGTTCTATAAGTAGATTTGGAACAAATACCTACTGTGGCAAATATCTGGCAAATGCATAGTGTGAGGCAGTGAACTCTCTCTCCTTCATGTTAGGAGGGAGACCTTCTTGCAACAGTCTTCGCTGTGCATAGCAGGAACTTTCACTGCAGAGACATGAGGAGATGCTTTGTTAATTCTTTAATGAAGGGTTTATGAACTTTGGACTGAGTTTTCAACAGAAATGTAAATCAGAATTTCTTGCACAAAACTGGAGTAGATACTGCACAGTGCTATTTTGTGGTCACAACAACCTATGCATCTGAAGGCTGACCTTTGCCTCTTCAGTACAAGCACACGGGACACACCCCACTCATAGCAATGTGTGGTTCCAGACACGACCCTCACAGACCCTACTGTCTTACACTGGCACAGTGCCGCCAAGCCACCGGTGACTCACGACAGTGCCAGCACCAGTGCTTGAGGAGGGGAACAGCCACGCTTTGGACACACCGTTTGTCTTTTTCAAATCACCCCACGGCTGCAGATTTCCCTGGAGACTCAAAGTTGGGACCAGACACCGAGGGGCAAACTCTATCCAGCAGAAAGCCATCACGGGGGCACAGCATCATTCAAGTTATTGATTTGAGCATGTGTAGCATTTTACTCATCCAAAACCTTCAAGAGTAAACTAATATGTAGAATGCACAATCATTTCAGGTGACTGCAGGAAAAAGATTAGCTTCTAAACAGAATACTTCATTCATTCATGGCTGTAATAGGCTGAGAGCTAATATGTTGGCTACTTAATTTGGCAAATTCTGGGATTTTCCTTTAATTAGAGCTAAATAAAGACTGTTCTTGAATTTTTTTTCTTTATACCATTCTGTGTCCCCACTGATATAACCAAACAAGAACTCCGACTCCTATTTCTGCAAACATGTTTTTCCCCCTGTACTTAGAGCTCTCGGCATTCCACAGCACTTTGAGGCCAAAGTCTGTGACTTAAGCAAACCAAAGTTCTGGCAGGAGTCCCTTCTTGCAAATATATTTTTGGCCTGGAACGACAAGGCTTATGTAGCTCCTGATCACTAAAATACCACAGGCTATTATGGAATGAAAAGGAGCCACGAGGCTAAGCCAATGTCCTCCAGATCCCTGCAAATCCCAGAAGCTGATCCAGTGTAAAAGTCCTCCCTAAGAAAAGATGGATTGCTTTTTGTCCTCGTGACAGCGATATCATTAAAACTTGTCTAGCCACATAGCACACAGCATCTTCAGGGGTGAACGAATGGCACTACTTGTTATCTCAGCTGCAGGAATTGCCAGAACTCAGACTCTTGTCTTTACAGCAGAGCTGAGTGTGACTGCTCTTTTTCAAGCTAGCAACAAACACTCAAGATACACACCAGGATTTTATTTGCTGTACAGAAAAGCTGGATTAGCAGCTGATGAGCGGTTACAACTCGAGCTCCTGCATCCTCACTTGAGCTTAAACTCTTCTCTCCAACAGCCCAGATGAAGGGCCAACAAATTGGGATCACAGCCTGAGGTGGGGACGGGACACGGGTTACTGTTCTAGCCAGATCAAGTACCTGCACATACCACTGCTGTCACTTCAGGGACTGCTGGATAAATGTGAACAAAATCAGAATAAGACAGGGAGCTGGCCCTGCCAGGTGGCTGAAAAGATAGGTTTTTTTTCAGTCCAAATATTACTTTAATAGGAGGTGAAAATTCTGAAATGGTTTGCCAGAGGTCAACTAGCTGTGAAGCCAGTGCTCTCACTCAGGGTACAAGAGAGAATGATCCTTCAGACAAGATTCATGAGGACAAATGCATCAAAGTGCCTGGGGAGGGGAAAGTTCAGTTCTTAGGAAAACTGCAGAAAGAGTTCCCTGGGATCAGCTCCTGAAGCAGGAGCTGGGAATGCCAGACACCTTCCCCATGTGAGAGGGGCACAGCCAGGAGAAGCTAATAACACAAATTTACACATACTGAAAAGCTGCAAGGGAAATATGCATTTCCCAGTATTTCTCCCCTGAAGCCCCAGACCTGAGTGCTGTCCTTCTGCTTTGCTGTGCACAGATCAGATCCCCTGGATGCTGCTGGTCCCAAAGACGTGTGGTTTCCAGACCTTCCCAGGGTGCCAGGTTTGACACAGAAAGCACCAACATGAAAAAGCCCATCTTTTGTGCCTCTCATAATCATTTACTTTTCTGTACAGGAAGGCAAAATGTTACATTTCATCAATCCAGTATAGTGGCATTTCTCAGTCTTTTACTGATAATGGAACGTTTTAGAAAACAGAGAACCAGAGCTGCTGGATGCCAATATACAATTAATCTGTTTTCATTCATTCCTTCAAGTTTTATTAATACAACAGAAGAGAAACAAAGCGCTCAGTGCTGAGCCAAATGCTTCACTCTGTGACGACAGAGACGATAGCTTTTTCTGAAATCCTGATGCTTTAGAGCACACAACAGCAACCAAATGTCTCCACGGCCATTAGGCCATAAGCCACCCACAAGAAACAAGCACCGCTAAATATAAACAGTCCCAATTCTTTTTATCTGTTAGCAAACAAAACACCATCAGCTTGTTTACACAGAGCAGTACCCAGCTCTGCAATTAATTAAAGCAAAAAATCAACAATCGCTTTGCAACATTTTCCATGCAAATGGTGTGTTACTGAAGCCAGCAGCAAGGTGGAGCAGCTGAGGGGCAACGTGGGGCAGGTTAATGTGTGCGGCTCTTTGATGTACAAAGAGGAGCAGCAATGCATGAGCAGTGCAGACCAGAGAGCCAACCACTTCCTTTTCCCCTGGAAAGCTTTGAATGTGAATTGGAAAGCGTTAGTCACTGCAGCATGAAGGTGCAGGGCATGGAGAACAATAAAGAGCACTTTCAGTGTGTTAACCTTTCTAAATCCATCCGCAAACGTATTAAGAAGTTAGCTCCTTTACCAGCGCTGGGGCTCCAGTGGAAAAAACAGCTGCTCCACATGCAGCTGACTGGCAGCAGCCCTGGGCAAAGCACAGTGACTTACTCTGCCCTAAACTGCTGGAGCCAGGGATTGTCTCAATTCCTGTCTCAGAGTGCACCCAGCACTACGCTGGTGCTGATCTAACTGAGAATGATGGTTTAAATACCAGAAAACAACTACAAATACCAGGGAAAACCCCATTTGACATCAGGTACATTGTCAGAGGTACATCAGCTTGGGATCAAAGTCTGTTCCTTTGGAGCCTTTCCGAATGTGATGTATTAGGACTCAGATCCTACTGGAGAGATCAGAGCTGCAGGCCTTACATCTGGGTCAAACTGGTGGGACAGAGAAGTTTCCAGGATTTATGGCCATCTTTTTATAATGCCACAATTCTGTGGATAACCATTCTGTGTCTTTTATGCAGAATCAGACCCAATCTAAGATGATAGCACACAGGTTTAATGGATCTGCAGTAATTAAGGGTGTTACGCTCTTATTAGGAAAAATGCTTGTTCACCCAATATAAAAAATCCAACATCAAGGAAATCAGTGTTGATGTCCCTTTCCTAAAATAAGGCTGGAGCTCATTATAGGCTCCCATACCCTAATACTGGTGCTAAGCAAATTTCCGTTTCACACGAGGAGATCATGCAACCTTCGCTTTTCTCTGTTATTTACAGTGGGGAGGCAGAATTCTAGCAGTTGTGCTTTTTGACAACCTTCATATAGTTAGTCAGAAATCTTTGTTTCTGGAATCTTTCTGTGTTGTCATGGAAATTATCACCATGTCCCTGAGACTAGGATAACAATTTTATGACAAATTACAGGAGATAGGGAAGGAGAATATTTTGGCATAAAACAATACTTACAAGGGAAAAAAAAAAATCACACAACATTTTTTGCACCCTTAAAAGGCATCAAATTAAAGATTTTACTCTCTAATCTCTGCCCACTCTTTTCCAGCAGGCAAGAACAAAATCTAGCAGCCTGCAAAACATATTTTTTCTTGAAGGACTCAATACAGAGCAGCCCTTGCAAGCAGAGAAGGTTGGCCAGGTCACCTCAGGCTGCTTCCAACCTTGCATCCCACCAAGATCTAAGAACAGGGCCTACAGAAATATAAAGAGTTTGTTAATATTTCTGACCACCTCAATATCTGAATCCCGCAGATTGTGTCTCTTAGAGACACCCTATGCAATTAGCAGGTCTTCAAACCTCTATTAAGTTGCCCCTATAAGAAAATCATCTGAGTGGTGTAGACAACACAGATTGTTAACAAGGGAGGAAACTCTTACCACACAAGGAGAGAGATATAGAAACTGCTTTTAGCAGAGGAGAGAAAGATGCTTTTCCTTCTGTTGTTTCACAGAGGTGTACAAGGCTTCTGCCAAGCAAAGAAGAAAGGTCCAGAAGCTGGAGACCTATTATTGTGGGTTATATTCTAGGCCATACGTGCAGCCCTAGAGCTAGTGCTCTACAGAGCTAAATGCAAGAGGTTTCATTAGGAGAACAATTTATTAAGGAAGGTGATTCCCCTTCTATGAAGGAAGCATACTCACACGCAATCTCCAAAGAAGGGGGTCTTGATGAGGCATGACAACTTATTGGATAAATGAATCATTTGTGCTGAAAACAGCTTTCAGATGGTCATTTTGAGTTGCCACATCTTAATCTAAAGATGGTTTCTGCTAATCCAAAGTGTGTTTTAAACAAATCAGGACCAGCAGGATAACAGGAAGACTACGTTATGGTAAATGTCTGAGCTGCTTTTAGTCCAATTGTTAGAAAAGCTATGAACAGACTCAATGAATGAGGTCTAGGATACAACAAAGCTCTCATTAATGAATTGAAAATATTTATGGTTGTTTCTCCTAATATCAGTATTCAAAACTGTAACTACTTCAAGAATTTGGTGTTTCAAAATTTGATTCTCCTTACTATTTTTTAATTCATATTTCTTTCACTTAAAAAGGGAAAGATTTTTCACCTTAAAAAAGATTTGGTAACATGAGATGGCCCTAACGCGAAACACAACAAATCCCAGGTGCTTCCAATAGCATCTTCTCAGCACAGCTCGATGCATTCCAGCAGTAATTTCAACCATTTACCCGCAGAGGGCAGACGCTGACAACAATTTGTGATGGCAGCCATCTCCATAGCCTGCTTTTGGTTCATCCA